ATTGTTTTGATTTGCATTTCTCTGATTACTAAGGATATCAAACATTTCTTAAGGATGTTGAAAATATTGTCATTTCCCTCCTTGTGTTGGAGTTTCCCATCTATTATCCTTTGTAGGGCTGCATTTGTGGAAAGATATTGTGTAAATTTGGTTTTGTCATTGAATATTTTGATTTCTCCCTCTGCAGTAATTTAGAGTTTTGCTGGGTACAATAGCCTGGGCTGGCATTTTTGTTAACTTATTGTCTGTATGACATCTGCCCAAGATCTTTTGGGTTTTAGAGTCTCTATTAGAAGTCTGGTGTAATTCTGATGGCCTTCCCTTTATATGTTACTTGACTTTTTCCTTTACTGCTTTCGATATTTTTTCTTTTATTTTTTATTCATTTGGTGTTTTCTTTATTATGTGATGGGAGAAATTTCTATTCTAGTCACATCTGTTTGGTGTTTTGTAGGTTTCTTGTATGTTTATGAGGCATATTTTCTTTAGGTTGGGAAAGTTGTCTCCTATAATTTTGATGAAGATTTTTTTGCTGGCTCTTTGAGTTGGAAATCTTTACTCTCTTCTATACTTACTATTCTTAGGTTCAGTCTTTTCATTGTGTCCTAGATTTCTTGAATGATTGGAGTTAGGAGCTTTCTACTTTTTGTATTTTTGACTAGTGTGTCGATGTCTTTTATGATATTTTCTAAACCTGAGATTAATATCTCTGGTATTTTGTTGGTGATGCTTACATATGTGACTCCTGTTCTCTTCCCTAGGTTTTTCATCTCCAGGGTCATCTCCCTTTGTGTTTTCATTAATGCTTCTTTTTGGTCAATTTCTTCACCTATTTGATTTTGTTTTCCTGTATTTCTTTAAGAGATTTATGTATTTCCTCTTTAACTGCTACTACTTTTTTTTTAACCTGTGTTTTTCTGCAAGGAAGTTATTTGCATCATTCTTAAAGTCCTCTTTCATATTAATGAGATAGGATTTTAGATCTGAATCTTGCTTTTCAGGTGTGTTGGAGTATCTAGTGCTTGGTGTGGTATGAAAACTAGGTTTTCATTTTATCTAGTAGCAGTGGTTTCTGTTGCTTATGGTCTTACCCTTTCCTCTCTCCATCTGGTTTCCTCTAGTGCTAACTGCCCTTGCTGTCTCTGACTAGAGCCCGTCCCTCCTGTGGACCTGAAAGTCCAGCTGTCTTTGTCATTTAATGATTCTATGATTCTGTGATCCTGAGATCCTGGGTGTGGCAGAGCTCCTGGGAGTCAAGCTTTCTCTGGGTGTTGCAGGAGTGGGTGAGAAGCCAGAGCCCTGTGACCTCACTGGACACAGATGAAAGCTTGAAGGAATGCATGTCCCTGGCTGGGCAGGGGTTCCTGCTTCTCTGGTTCCTGTGGGGGGTCCCAGTGATGCCTGTTGTTGGGACTGATGCTGTGGTCTCAACTGTGATATTGGGTGTGTCAAAGCTCCAGTAATCCTAGGTATGTCAGGTCTCTTGGTGTCAAACTTCCTCTGGATGTTGTAGGAGTGGATGGGGAGCCAGAACCCTGGGTAGGTCTGGGCACAGGAAACCAGAAGGAACCTGTGCCTCTGGCTGTGTGGGTTTCCTGAGTCCCTGGATTCCGGGGGACCCAGTTGTGCCTGGTGTTGGGACAGATGTTGTGGTCTCACCTGTGTGATCCTGTGTGTCTGAGCACCTCAGAGTTGATCTTCTTCTGGGTGTTATATGAGTGGATGGAGAATCAGCACCCCAGGTCTGTTCTGTGCACCAGTATAAACTGGAAGAAACCCATGCCTCTGGCTGGCTGGGGTTTTCTGTGTCCCTGGATCCCAGGCATCCCAGTTATACTGAGTGTTAGGGCAGATGTTGTGGCATCACCTATGATCCTGGAAGTTGTGATCAATTTCTTTTTTAAAATTTTTTTATAGCATATATTATTTATTTACAATACAGGTGTCATCCCCTTTCGGCACTTCCCCTCTCTAGAACCCCCTATCCCATTCTCCCTCCTCCTTTATGCTTTTATACTATTTTAATTACATGCATGTATTAAGGTCAGTTCTAGGTTGAGGGTCTAGCATTACAATAGATGCAAATAGTCAAGGAACAAGCACGGCAATAAACACAAATAGACAAAGAAAAAGCAAGGCATTAAACCCGATTACATGAATACTCCTGTGATCATGGTTTCTAATGGCTTATCAGGATGACCAAAGTATCTGAGCCTATTTCCCTGTCCTAGCTCAAATTCATTTTCATGTCTGAAGCCTACTTCTTTGTTCTAGCCTAAAATTAAGAATCTTGTCTGAATTTACTTCTTTGTTCTAGCCTAATATTTAGGTACCTGCCTGAGACTACTTCTTTGTTGTAGCCTAAGATTTAGATTCCTACCTGAAATTACTTCTTTTTTCTAGTCTAATGTCAGCTTCCTGCCTGAAGCCTACTTCCTTGTCCTTGGTCAATGTCATAGCCTGCCTAGCAGCCCATTTCCTTGTCCTTGACCCATGTCAGATTCTTGCCAAGCAGCCCCAAAGGATCTCTGCCTCTCTCAATTTTTTATTTCATTAACAAGACTGAGTCTGTCTTGTGTCATTCTGACAAGAATGCCTTCCCTACACATCGTGGAATAAACATTACCATAAGCAATGCACTTCTGTGTTAGGTTGATAAGGCTCTGTGCAGAATCTTACCTTCTTGGCTTACTAGTCTGTTAATTTAATAACTCTTTCTAGGGGTCCATTTTCAGGTTGAAGTCATGTACTTTGACTGCCAACATGTTGATGTTATTAAAGAAAAGTTTTAACACAATGGGCAGGCAGAAAAGTATTCCCAGGACAAAAAGGACTAGCATGATCTAGATATATATGCCATTTTCGAAGCTTGGCCAAAATAGAAATACTGACCTCAGGCCATTGGTAATTTTATCTGCAGTATCTACAACACCAAAGCTCTGCAGAGCAGCATTTTTGAAATTCATAAGTTTCCTATATATTGTTAAAACTTCCAGAGAGGTGTTAGAATTATATCAAATACACTGCAAGTGTCATTAAACTTCTTCTTAATAATAATGTCTACCACTGTAAATTTTAGAACTAACATGAATCCAATGGTATTTGGCTGAACACTCAAGATTGCTCCTTACCCTTAAATTCTGAACCTCCTTCCAGGAATTCGAATAGGATAAAGAGCATCTATCTGTTCTTCCAAATGTCTGTCTAAATCCTCTTGTATATTCAACACATTAGTAACATTTTTTGGCAAATGATTAACAAAAGTAGCTGTCTTAACTTCTTGTGTCACAGTAATTGCAGAAGCAATGGTGCTAGCAATTAATGTAATTAAAGCTGTTATACCAGCAATAATTAAGCCCACTTCCCTCTTGCTTCTGCTTAAAGCTTGCCTCATTTCTTAAGCAAAGATAATTCTACAGAATGTGAAATTGTTTTACTGAGTTTGAGTTTTAGAGGTCAATTGCATTTTTATACAATAAAAATCTATGCCTAATAATAAACATATTAGTCCTAAAATTTAGATCTGTGGGACAACATGTTAAAATGTTAGGAATCTACTAGTAATTTCAGCAGTGCATATTTAATATTTATGCCTCTGTGTCTCAATTTGTCAAAGTCCATCACATGCCCGCCTACTTATGAAAAGTGATCATCATTTGTGAGCTATCTGGTAGGCAGATTTTTATTTTTCATGCAGGAAAACCTCATGTTTTTGGAAAAAGATATAGCTGCATTTTAATTAACACCAATTACACCAAGTAGTCAACCACAAAGTTACATTCTTCCAAAACGATATTTTTAAATATTGTCAGGGCAAATTTTTTCAATAAAAGTACATCAGAAGTGGCAAGTTTAAGTAAAATGACATTTCTATTAGAATAATATCTTATTCAAAATTTAATATATTTTAATTAATTCTAAGATTGTAATGTCTATAATATATTTTCATGATATATGCATTACCCACATACCTCTAAAATTTCTACCATATTTCTACCTTACCATGATACACTACAAATGCAAAATATTTCAGACATCATGTTTAAATGGTTTTTGTAAATTTCTCTCCTGAGCTTTTGACCTGGAGAAGAATCCAACCATGGAATAGACCACATTTTGAAGGAACAATGGAACCTACAGCCTTTTTTTCTAGTAATTCCTTGCCTCAAAATTCCTTAAAATAAACAATGCTTTCTTGTTTTATTTTGCTATAATTTCATTGTCTTATGCTTATATTGATGTGCAGGTTTGGTCTTTTGCTTGTATTCTAATGCTAATGTTGACCCCAAAGGTCAAGTTCCTCAGAAATAAGAGAGTCTCTATGTAACCAAATAACACAACCAAGTGATGCTATGTAACCTTGCTCCCCAAATTATCATTGACTATTGAATGAAGATTTCTACAGCCAATAGCTGGGCAGAAGAGAGATAGATGGGCTTCTCTGTTTCCTGGGCTTAGAGACTGAGAAGGCCATGAGGGAGTGAGAAATGAGGGGAGAAAGGAGAAAGCTGACAGGAGGTAAATGCATTACAAATAAAAACAGAGCCATGCAGTCTGGCCAGTTGCAGTTAAACTGCAGTCCAGAGAGAGCATGGCAAGTTATAATTCAGAGATATTGATAGGGAAAGAGATTTTAATATGGTAGACTGTAGATATCTACTCCATTCTAGTCCTGCTTAAGGTTTACCATAAAAATAAAAGTTCTGTGTCCTTTTTTGAGAACTAAATGATTAAAGGTGGGGAAGAAATTCCAATTTGAGATTAAATAATTATACCAACATATTCATCTATATGTTTTGAAAACAATGAATCTCATTAAATGTACTAACATTATCCAATTATATCAATTTTGTAGGCTATTATCTAGAAAAGATATTTATCCACAGAATATTTTTAGTGTAACAGTAGAATTACTAAAAATATAATTCTAAAGGGCGCAGTCATGTGTTAAAATAGAAGCAAGATTTCAAAGCTGACTACAGATTTATTTAAGAATATTGTCACAAAATCCTATCACTTATTTTCCTCAAGGCTTCTTTCATGTCTTTGTTCCTCAGACTATACACAAAGGGGTTTACCATCTGAGGAACCACAGTGTATAATATTGAAACCACTGCAGTCTTTCTAGGAGAGTCAGTCAGGGCAGAGCTGATATAGACACCAAACAATGAGCTATAGAAGAGTGAAACAACTGACAAGTGAGACCCACAAGTGGACAGGGCTTTGTAACTACCTCTCTTTGAAGAAGTTTTCAATATTGAGGAGACAATTTGAACATACGATAAAATAATGCCCCAAAACGGAAGTCCAGCAAATAAGAAAGCTGACACGTATATCACTATGCTATTGATGAGGGTGTCAGAACATGACAGCTTGATTATATGAGCAAGTTCACAGAAGAAGTGAGGGATTTCCAAATATGTGCAGAAGGATAGTCGCAACACCAACAGACTATGTAGCAGGGCATCCATCATGCTACTGAACAGGGAGAAGAGTGTTAACATAATACAGATGTTTGGATTCATCATGATCATGTATCTTAGTGGATGGCAGATTGCCACATAGCGATCATAAGCCATTGCTGCAAGAAGAAAGTTTTCCATTCCACCAAGAAAAACAACAAAGTACATCTGTGTAAGGCAATCTGTGTAACTGATGGAATTGTTCTGTCTCTGGATGCTTATCAACATCTTCGGAACTGTGCTGGTGATGAAGCAGATGTCAGTGAAGGACAAGTTAGAGAGAAAGAAGTACATTGGGGTATGGAGGTGAGAGTCAAAGATAACAGCCAAGATAATGATGAGGTTTCCCAGCACTGTGACAAGATACATGAAGAGAAAGAGTTCAAAGAGGATGAGCTGCAGTTCTGGATCGTCTGTTAGTCCCAGAAGAAAGAATTCTGAAGCAGATGTTTGATTTCTGTTTACTTTATTACTAATGAATAAGAATAAATGTGGTTAAAATGCAATCAAATATACAATACTGTGTTATATACATTTAGAAAAATCCAGAAAACAGTTATATGTAATGACTATTAGAGATGAAGGTAAAGAATCCACACTTTAACAAACTTTATGATATGTTGCTTTTATACACATTGCTGTAGAATTCTTTGTTTTAGTATATTGTGAACCCAAGTGAATAAGTAAGCCTATGTCTATGATTATCCACTACTACTCTGTCTACTTTATCCAAACAATAAAATATATTGCCCTGCTTAATCATCTCTACATTTACCAGTCTGGCACCCTTTCATTTTTTAATATCAACACATTTTAAATATCAATTGTCCCAGAATTCTTCAGAATTCTGAGAATAAAATTAAAAAATTATATATCTTAGAATTATATCATATCTTAATGAGGAGAAAAGTATCATAAGGAGATGAGGAAATAACAGGGTGAGGAGTGGTCCAAAAAAGTGTGAGAATTAGAGTAAACTGACACAATATGCAAATATATCATATTTCCAAAGAACAAATTTAATCAGCATAAAAAACAGAAATATAATTAGAAGTCATGAAATCAGAATCATCCATTGTAAGGATCTTTTCTGAACACATTTTAAAGATATTTTACATTTATATTTGCTTATTGATTAGTAGAAAAAACAGATTAGAAGAACACTTAAAACATCATAAGGGAATATGAAGAATATCAAAGTGGTAATATCAAGAATTTGTTGATACACAGAGCAGAGAAACACAAATGTATTCATTCTGCATAAATCTAATCACTAAGCATGCTTGATTTGAAAATCATTAACAAAATAAAACTTTATAGTTTGTGAAAGTACAATCAAATCAAATAAACACATACAAATCAGATTGCAAAAATACCTAGAATATTGTTCAACACAAGGAAACCTTAGTGACTTTTTTGCTATTTGGTGTTTTTCCTGACATCATAAGACAACCTGATATCTCTCATTCCCATTTCTATAGCTGTGAGTTTAGGGACACTGGAAATCATGAGTTTATATTTAGTATGGGAAGACTTTACATGAGGAAGTACAATGTACAAATAAATATCAGGTTTGTACACTACAAATCAAGTAAATTAGTGATATAATGATTTAGATTTTTAATGAATGTCAACACTGAAAACCTGAAGTTAAAATTCTTGTACTTTTCTGAAAAGGCATACTTATCAAACCTGCACATGAATTTTCTGTTTATTATCAAGATCTAGATATGCTAGCTATTTGATTTATGATTTCATTTACATTTTCACTAAAACTGACATCTTTAATTCTACTTTATTAATTTTAAACAAAGTGCTCCACTAAAATTTTTTACTATACAAATTCTACAATATTTTTTCTGTTGATATTAGAGTTCCACTTTCCCATCTTTCATGTTCATTCTTTAAAAGTATGTATACCTATGAACTGTGAACCCCTAATCAGTGAAAAGTATAATGGGTAAACTAAGGAGAAAAATATCCAATGTTAGGTAAGAGAGCACCAGCAGTAGTGTAAAATGTTTAAGTAGAGCACATATACTTTTTTTTTTCTGAAAAAGCATGTATCTGATCTTCTTATTATTACATGGTAATTTTTGCAATTCAAATTGATGACAATACTTATTTCAACATTTATGTCCTTATATTTTAATGTACTTTTTGAAAATTTGTGTTAAGAAACTTAGGTCTATAGCATTCTTGGTGTCTGCTTGCATCTCAATTCTACAGTATTCTCATAGCTTCTCATAAGAATTGACAACATTTTTCTTATCTGAATATAGATTAATGTTGATCTGAGGAAAAGATAATACACAATTTAAAAACTCATCTTTCTTTTTACCTTCCAAAAATATGCAAAAAAATATAGAAAAGTTTAGCACACTGGTACTTAAAAAATTGTACAATTAATGCTTAAATTGTTTTAGAACGAGGGCAGTATTGTGTAATTTTACAAAGGTAGTAAAGAATATGAGACTATGATAATGATTAGCAAAGTTCCTCTGCACAAATTCATATTGCTCACTTTCTTCTGCTTGCATTTTTCTCACAGATTCACATATATGAAACTAGAAAATGACAGTAGATTGAATTACCTTGCTATTATCATTGTGAAATGGAGACAGTCAAATCATTCGGTACTGTGTAGTCACAGGACTCTTATTGTTAGGAAGGGAAGAGCCTCTGTATGTGACTTTAGTTTATTGCCAAACACATAACCTTGCAGAGCATGTTCAAAATATGTCTTATGGATGCAATAAGCCTCTTGAGTCAAGTTGTAAGATCAGAGGATTTACAGCTATCATGTCCCTAGTGACTGAATATACAAACAATCTCATTAGACATTCTTGGATATTAGAGGTATAAATGCATTAAAACCAATACTCAAGAAGGTAGAAAAACTCTAACTGATATCTTTATCCTTGAGGTCAAAGTTAATTATACATTTATAGCATCTTGTTTCTCATACTTGAATTTTATTCAGCTTGCACACACACATATGTGCCAATTTTCACTAAGTTGGTTGCATATTTCAATCTGATTTCAACAGGCCCATCTTTGTATCCTGGGCCTGGTTTTGTATGTAGAAATATAAGCTTATTTTAATTTTGTTCTCTTTAATATTTTACTGGTGAGAATTTCATGGATGAGTACTTTAATTAAATTATTCCCATTCCTCCAAATTATAATATATGCACCTACTGCCTCTCAAATTTATGGCCTCCTTTAATTTTTAAATTTGTGATTTACACAACATATATTTTAAACATAATTAAGATAAACCATAATGCAATAACAGAGGGGATATCATACCCCACTGAATCAACATTGTATCAACTAAGCGGTTTGATGAGTATGAGTCACAAAGATTAACCTGTAAGTAGGGAACATGCATGGGTATACACTCTGCATACAGTGTTACAGCTGTTAGCTTGGTGTTCATGTGGAACTCCTAACAGTTGGAATGGATGTACCACTGACATCTTTGTCCACGCTTGGGACCCATTTCTTTCTACTGGGTTTCCTTGTCCAGGCTCCATTTGAGGGCTTTTGTCTTGTCCTATTTTATCTTCTTTTATCATGTTTGGCTATTGTCTCCTTGAAGCCTACGCTTGTTTTTTATGAGCCTGTGAAATTATGGGAATATTTTATTTATTTATTTATTTATTTATTTATTTATTTATTTATTTATATTAGATATCTTCTTTACTTATATTTCCAATGTGAACCTTTCCCTGTTCCCCACCATCTTGGAATCCCCCATTCCATGTCCCTTCCCCTGCTTCCATGAGGGTGTTCCCCCACCCACGTGATGCTCAAGAAGAAGCAAGACCAAAGTGTGGATGCTTTGGTCCTTCTTAGAAGGGGAAACAAAATACTCATAGGAGGAAAGGCAGAGACAAGGTGTGAAGCAGAGACTGAAGGAAATGTTCATCCAGAGACTGCCCCACCATAAACATTCACCAAGTCTGGACACTATGGTACATAGTGAAAAGACCCTGATATGGTTGTCTCCAGAGGGTCTCTGCCAGAGCCTAAGAAATACAGAGGTGGTCACTTGAGTCAACCATTGGACTGAGCACAGGGTCCCCAATGCTGGATGCCTACTCTTATTTGAAGTGTAAGTAGAGTGATAGTGCATCTGGAAGAGGAGGGAGTTGAAGGGGGCTTAGGAGTGGATGGAAAGGAAACTTGAGTAAGAACATATTACATGAAAGGAGAATCTATTTTCAATAAAATGATATGTTTCAAGAAAACAAATGATTAAAAAATAGGTATGGATCCAAATTTAAGGGAAAAAAAGAAAAATTGTATGGAAACAAATAAGAAATGTTCAACTTCTTGAATTCTTAATATATTTTGGATATTATTCCCCTGTTGAATATATGGCTGGTGAAGAAATTTTTAACAATCTGTAGGCTTCCCTTTTGACCTATTGACAATATCCTTTGCCTAACAGAAGGATTTTAGTGTCCTAAGGTTCCACTTATCAATTGTTCATTTTATTGCCTTAGCTGTTGGTCTTCTGTTTAGGAAGTTGTCTCCTGTATAAATGCCTTCAATGTTATTCTCTGTATTTTTTCTATTAGATTTATATCTGGTTTTGTATTGGGGGCTTTGATCCATTTGGATTTAAATTTTTGCAGGTTGATAAATATGGATTGATTTATGTTCTTCACAGTCCATATACACAATCAGTTAGAGCAGCACCATCTGTTGAAGAAGCATTCCTTTTTCCATAGTATGTTTTTGGCTTCATTGTCAAAAATCAAGTGTATATATGTACCTGAGTTTATTTCTGTGTGTTTGATTCAGTTCCATTGATCAGCCTATCTATTTATACATGAATACCATGCTTTGATTATTATCATTATTAGTATTGCTCTGTAGAGCTACTTGAAAACAGACCCTGTGATACTCCCAGATGTTCTCTTATTATACAGGACTGTTTTAGCTATCTTGGGTTTTTTGATTTTTTTAAGAAGCTTGCCTACACGGATGGCCAAAATGGAGACCAATCCAATGGTCAAGAATCAATTCCTGATACTACTAATGATACTGTATAATTGTGGACAGAATCTAGCACCCAATCACACTTAGAAGGAGGAATAAAATGTTCATTGAAGGCAGAGGAGGGAGGGAACTAGGTGGGAGATAAATGTGGAAAGAAATGGCTAAGGTTATGATCAGTTGAGCAGAGAGGCAGGAGAGCTAGGAGAGTGAATGGAAATTTTGTACCAGTGTGTCCAAGCCCAAGCTGCTGCTCTGGTCTGCAGGTAAGGATCTATCAAGAGAAAGAGTGGGGATGGAAGGGCAAGAGATGTGAAGAATGGAGATAAGACAGAGAGTCTGTTCAAGTCCCCCTTCCAGGTGATGGGATCCACACAACGCCCTAGGGTTGCAGCTAAATCAATAGCCTCCATCAAAAATACCCCAAGCCACTTCTTACAGTGTTACCATGGACCTCAATAGGATGAGTAATCCTCTCTTCACTTTTTCCTAATCCTTTCCCAGGGGAGAATCCAGAGTTTATCATTTGAGCCATGACTACTTCATTATGGCTATACATAATCAATCCTAACTGGGATAACAGATCTCAGCCCCAGAGATTAATGGGAAGGCCCAAGATGACATAAGGTTGTATATTTCCTGTATTTCCGTCTTTATCTTTCCACAACAGCAACTTAGAGGTTTGTTGTGAATTTTGACTTCGGACAATACCTGTAAGATTGGTTAAGGTTGGGGTCAGAAGCCAGGTGCTAGGCCAATCACTTTGTTTTATGATCATCACATCAGCCCCTGTATCAACCAAGCCTTGAAATGCCTTTCTATGGAGCAATATTGTCATGATAGGTTTTTGTTTAACTATAGGTTGTACCCAGTATGAATCAGAGGAACCAAAGCTTTGATCCCCTCTCTTAGGACTCTTATATTGGTGTTTAGTAGGGATCAATGGAAGTAACAATAGTTGAGCTATCCTCCTTCCTGTAGGAATGGTGACTATATTCTGTATTGCCTTGGCCATTACCTCAATCTCACCTTGATAATCACTGTCTATAACTCCAGGAAAAATTTGTAGTCCCTGCACAGTAGCACTGCTTCTTTCTACTATCAGGCCAAATACATTTTGATAGAGTGGTCTGAACACTTCAGTGGGTAGGGCCTGAGGTCTCATTTCTGGGGTTAATACTGTGTGGGTGCCAGAACTGAGGTTCAGTCCTGCGCTTCCTGGTGTTGCTCGACTATGTTCAGAAAGGGTTGTTGTTTGATGGTATGAAACTGACTGCCCCATAAGCCTGTTTTGTCTTGTGTTGCCTCGGGGCCTGGGGCTGGCCCCTTTTCCTGTTTCCCTGATTATGGGAAAAGGTGTTTCCTTGTGCATCTGTCTTGGACCTACTTTCACTAGCCCAATGCCTTCCACATTTGCAAAGTGGGCATAACCCAGGCTGTTTTCTGCACTGTCTCTGGGTTAACTCATATTATGCTTTGAAATATTTTGCCAAGTGTACAGTCTTGCCACATTTAAAACAGGCCTTTTTGTCTCTACTTGCCAAAAACTCTCTTACTGATTTTCCTTGCATGGCAGCTGCCATAGCTAAGCCCTGTTGATAGGAGGGCCCTTTGTCAGAACAAAGTCTGATATACCCAGTAAGATCTGTCTTTTCCTTAGGGTCTAATGGCTGCTTGGCAGGCAAGATTGGAATTTTCATATGCAAGTTGTTTCACATAATCTACACCTGCCTCTGCATTACCAAAAATCCTCCCTGCTATTGTCATTAATTGATTAACAAAATCAGAAAATCATCCATCAGACCCTTGTCTTACTGCTGTTAAAGATGCTTCAGGGTCTCTCTTTGCCAGGAGTTTACGTCAAGATTTCATGGCTTCATTTTCAATTTGAGCAAATAAACCTGGGTCATATTGCATCTGGTTATCTCTAGAAGCAAATTGCCCTTCTCTTACTAAGGCATCAAAGGACCAACCATTGCCTGCCTGAATGTTTCCCCTAGCTGTCTCTTTACAATTCTTGTAATACTCTGATTTCCAAATAAGATGGTCACCACTGCCAAGAACTGCTCTCAATAGAGTATTCCAATCACCAGGATTCAGCCACTCCTCTGCAGCAGATTATAAGATTGCAAGAGTAAAAGTAGCAGTGGCACTATATTGTGACACTCCATTTTTTAATTCTTTAATAATTTTAAAATTAAACCCTGTGTGATGTCTCCACGCAACTCCTTGAGCCTCTCTAGTCTCTGATACAGGGAAAGCCTCAGCCTCTCTCTCCTCTGGCTGATCTGGAGCTGAACTAATGCCAGAGGACAGGGGCTGCTTTTGAACTCTGGGTTGAGTAACACAAGGACCTGGGTGATTTTTGCAGTTGGCCTTGCCTTCATGAAACATCTTCCCTGTCTTTAATTTTGTAGCCAATTAATTAATTCCTGATACTCTTCCTCTAACTCTATTTTTTGTTTAAGAAGAGAAACTTGTTGCTTAAGGAGAGAAATTTTGTCCTGTAACTCCTTTCTGTGATCTACAATGACCATCTCCATATGTAGAGCATCTGGAGGTGGAGGCACATAGCGAAGGGGCCTTCGGGAAGAGGGTCATTCAGGGTCATAATGTTTAGCTGCCTCTTCCTTTAGGTCATCCCAGTCTGACTCTGACAAATCATCCTCAACCTTTGGTCATATTTTGGATACTATGCATTTCTTTTTCTTTTGAACATGAAACACACCATTCAAACAGTGAAACAAAAGCAGACAATTGACACACATGAACAGTGAACAACAAAACAAAAATAGAGAGTTAAGTTCAGGCTGACTTATTTCTTGCCCCATTATCATTACAATGACCTACTGGTCTCAACATGGCAATTTCCTGTGGCAATCACCTCTGTTTCACTCCTGAATTTTCAGTTGATCCCTCTTCCAGTAATGTCCCTAACTGAGTCTCTCATTTTTGCTGCCCTTTGTTGACTGCCACTACCAAGACAGCTCTGTCAGTCAACAGGTTCTCCAGCTCAGGAGTGAGGATGTGTGCTTCCAATTCCTGCAGTGTCCTTGACTGTATCCCGCTTATTGGAGGTGTCACTATGTAATGACCTGTTCTGCCCCACGTTTGGGGGCCACTATATCCCAGCCTGAGCTGCTGTTCTAGTCTGTGGGTCAGGATCTAGCAAGAGAAACAGTGGGGATGGAGGGGCAAGAGATGCAAAGAATTTAGACAAGACATGATGTGTGGTCAAGTCCTGTTTATTGAAAGGAAATCATGGGTATATATAAGCATAAGCAGGGGAATGCAGCTGAAGACACTTTATCATGTGCGCCTTGCAGCTGGGGGCATTATACAACAAAAGATATGTGAGAACAAAAGATGTTTATCAGAGTGTGCTCAGCTATTGTAGGATGTTGAAAACAAGTCTCTTGTCAGGGTATATAGCCTGAGATGGCTGCAAAGATGATAGCCATTTTTTGCTAGGAGTCGGCTTCCAACACCAGTGGAGGGTGGGAGGTGTTACCATGGGGGAGATAGTTCTAGGAACAGCAAAAGCCAAGGAATGAGGGAGACTCCCATTATTCTAGGGGGTGAGGGTGACTCTAGCTGAGATTCCTAGCAGTAGGAATATGGAATCAGAAGTGGCTAGTTCTTGTAGCCAGGCAAAAGACCTATTGGAGTGATAAGGAGCCAATCCACCCATAAAACTACTGACCAAAAAGTTGTTGTGTCTACAAGAAACACATAGTCAAAGGTGGAGTTGAGACTGAGAGAATGGCCCACAGATTTCTAGCACAAATCCCATAGGCAAGAATCTATTCCTGATACTGTCAATGATACTATCTAATTGTAGATAGAACCTAGCATAACTGTTCTCTGAGGCTCAGTCCAGCAGCTGACTGAAACAGATGCAGAAACTCACAATCACACATTGAACTGAGCTCAAGTAATTTTATAGAAGAGTTGGGGGAATGATTGGGGGACATGGAGAGAGTAGGAACTTCACAGGAAGATCATCAAAGTTAACAAACGTGGGCCCTTTGGGAGGGGTCCCAGATACAGAACCACTAACTAACAAGCATATAAGAGCTGGACTTGAGCCCTACCCTCATATGCAACAGATGTGTAGCTCTGTCTTAACGTGAGTTCCCCCAATACCTTAGCAGGGTTCTGTCTTTATGTCTGTTGACTGTTCATAGATTGTTTCCCTACCCAAGCCTTGTTTTGCCTCAGTGTGAGAGGATGCACCTAGTCATTCAGAGATTTGATGTGCCAGGATGGGGTGATACACAGGTGTCCTTCCTCTCTGAGATGAGGAAGAGGATGAAAGAAAAGACAGTGTGAGATGGGGACTGGAGGGAAGGCAGCAGTATTTGCAGTGTAAAGTGGATAAATTAATTAATGGAACTGGAAAAATGTTCAAAATTCGTATTCATTGGGGAAATGAAAATTAAAACTTGAGATTTCACTTCAATGCCTGTGAGAATGTCTAAGATCAATAACAAAAGTGGCAGTTCATGTTTGGGACAACACAGACTAAGGAGCACACTCATCCATTGCAGGTGGGACTTCAAATTTGTTCAGCCACTCAGCAAATCAGCATGACACTTCCTCAGAAATATGGGAGAACATTCAACCTCAAGACATAGCTTTGCCATTTTTGTGCTTATACCCAAAGGAAACATTATTCTATTTTAAGTAGACTTGTTCAACTATGTTCATTATTGCTTTATTTGTAACAATCATGTATTACAAATAACCTAAATATCCCTGAACAGATTAATAGGAAAAGAAAATGTAGTACATTTACACAATAGAATACATGTAAAATAGATGGACTGGAAAAAATCATCCAGATTGAGGTATAATAGTACCAGAAAGACAACTGTTGTATATTTTTGCTCATGTAGATATGAGCTGTTAAGTCAATGGTAAACATGTTATTAACTATATGACCACCGAGGTTAGGTAGAGAACTTGAAGGGGACATATAGAACTTTTATGAAAGAAAATAGAATGTTTACAAATTGATAGGGGGAATTCATGGGGAGGAGGAGGGTAGAAAGGAATTGTAAAGAGAATTTGAAGACAGAACTAAAATTAAGGGTCATTTGAGGGGTAGTACTGAAATTAAATACATAAGAAGCTTTCTAAAGTACAGAAATATGTGAAAGGCATAAAAGTAAAATTTCCAAATGTTGGGGTAGATGAAGTCCCAGTTGGACATCTCTTGTCAACAAATGAAATCCTATCTTAAGACTCTTACATGTTGGTTAAAAGGATTGAAGGGGAATTCTCAAAACAATCTATTCTGTTGCTACAACTATAAGTTGATCGTCATAATCTTGCCCAATTTTATAAGAAACAAACAAACAAGAACATGAATAAATCATTAAAATGAATAAGTCAATCTAGTTTTCTCATAGAGGCTTCACTCTTACATTTTAGAATTTTACATACAAGAAGGTACTCTGCATGCTTGCAAAAGAAAAAATGTAGACATAAACTTAGACACAAGCCCTTTAATTTTCTGTGGTGTCTTGCCTGAAACTTATTATATATAATGGTAGCTGAATGGTTGCAGGAATGACCAACCAATATCTGATTTGACTGAGGCACAATCCATGAGATGGATCCAATAGACAACACTACTTCTATGACCAGGAACCTGTGACTAGATAGCCTTTGGATTTGGGGAACAACCAAGTACTACTATTCTAAAATATATATGAATAAAAATGTATTCCTCCAATAAATTACTCCCCTTAGAGTTCAGGACACCCTGTGGAAAAGCAAGGAGCAAGCACATTAGAGCCAGCAGGGATGGAGGAGACCAAAAAAAAAATAATAAGACCCTCTAAATCAATATGATTCAAGCATAAATAAACTCGTAAAGACTGAGTTAACATGAACATGGTATGCATTGGTCTGAACCAGTCTTTTTAGTGTTTAGCTTCTATTTTAGTGCTTTTATGAGATTCCTGAGTGTAGGAAGAGTAGATCTCTCTCTCTTCCTTCCTTCCTTCCTTCCTTCCTTCCTTCCTTCCTTCCTTCCTTTCTTCCTTGCTCCTTCTCTTCCTTTCTGTTTTGAAGAATTGCTTCATTTTTTTATTAATTATTTTATATTTTGACATTTCAAATGTTGTCCTCCTTCTTGGTCACCTCTCCCCTTCACCACCCAATCCCACCACACCCCTCTACTATTCCCCTTCTCTGGGACACCAAACCTTTACAGAACCTAGAGTATCCCCTCCCACTGAGGCAAGACAAGGCAGCCCTCTGCTACACATGTAGTGGGAAATATAGAGCAGCCCAAATATGCTTTTTGGTTGGTTGTTTAACCCCTGGGAGTTCTGAGGGGTTCAATTAGTTAGTACTGTTGTTCTTCCTATGGAGTTGTAATTCCCTTCAGCATCTTCAGTCTTTCCTCTAACACTTCCAAAGGGGGTCAATGGTCTCAGTCCAGTGGTTGGATGGGAGTATCAGCATATGTCTTAGTTGGGTGCTGACTTAGACTCTCAGAGGACACCCATACCTGGCTCCAGTCTGTAAGTACATCTTGGCATCAGCAGTAGTGGAGGGTTTGATGTCTACAAATGGGATGAATACCAAGTTGGGGCAGTCTCTCAATAGCTTTTTCTTAGTCTCTGGTCCATTTTTTGTCTCCATGTTTTGCTTAGACAGGAAAACTTCTGGGTTAAAACTTCTGATATGGGTGGGTCTAACTTCTGAATTTGGGGCCATGTCTATCTACTGGAGGTTGTCCCTTCAGGTTCTGTCTCCACACCATTGGGAATGTTGGTTAATGTCTTCCCCATTGGGTTCTGGAAACCACTCATATCCCTGGCTTCTGGGACTTTCTAGTGATCCCCCTATTCCTCCTATTCCCCATTCCCCCACTGCTACATATTTAAATTCATTTTTCTAGCCCTCTGGACTTCTCTCCTGTCTCTTCCCATACCTGATTCTGCTTTCCCTTTTTTCCTTCCCTGTCCAATCTCCCACCTAGGTCCCTTCATCCCTCTGCCCTCCATGATTCATTATTTTGTTCCACTTCAAAGTGGGATTGAAGCATCAACACTTTGGACTTCCATCTTGTTAAGTTTCATATGGTCTGTGAGTTGTATCATGGGTATTCTGAGCTTTTGAGCTGCTTTATGCCTCAATTAGATGCTGGTAGTACCTCTCAGAAAACAGCCATGCCAGACTCCTCTCTGCAAGCACACCTTTATATAAGCAATAGTGTCAGGGTTTGATGTCTGTGCATGGGATAAATCTCGAGTTGGGATGGTTTCTGAATGGCCTATCCTTCAGTCTCTGCTGAAATCTCAGCTGAACAATCATCCAGTGCTGGTGGGATTTCAAACTGGTATAACCACTCTGGAAATCAATCTGACAATTCATCAGAAATTTGGAAATAGTTCTATATGAAGACTCAGCTATACTACTCCTGGATATATACCTAAGAGGTCACAGTTCTTAAGCCTCTTATTAGATTTTTCCCTTCTGATAGCTATGTCCAATTCTGATTTGTTGATTTTTGTTTTGTTTTGTTTTTATAAATTACTATTCTTCAGAAGCTTGTTTCTTTTTATTTTTACTAATTTTACTGTATCATTAGTTATATTTTTTTTATTTAAACAAATTTTTAATTTTTAATGTATTTTAGTTATATTCTCCCAGATCTCTAAGACCTTCCAAATCCCCTCAAACTCCTTATGCAGCAAATTTTAAATGCTTTATTGAAAAAAAGACAAAAACACAAAACAGATATAACTATAAAACCTGTAATATCTAGAAAACTAGGTACAAGTAAACCCCCCCCAAAAAATACAGGATAACAGCAAATTCTAACCCACTAGATCACACACACACATACACACTACCACCACCACCACTACCAAGAACAACAACAACAACAACAACTCCTGAACATGAGACCTGCTTAGTTATATTTGATATACCCAGTGTCATTTCATGGAAGAAAACTAATTTTTTTTGTCCCAGCAGATATAAATAACAGCTCGGTTGTTAAACTTTACATTACTGGCTAGGTTTTCATTAAGTTATTCATTCGTTTACTTTGTTGTATATTACAAACAAAATTATATGATGTAAAACAAAAGTATAACATTTAAGTTGGACAAGACAAATGAAGATAAGGAAAAGAGCTCAAGGAAGGCAAAATAATCATTGGCCCAGTCATTCATATAATAAATAATCTAATAAAAATATAAAACAGGAAGCCATAATATAAAGGCAGAGGACATTCTCTGGACATGTGTCAACCCTGTGAGTGCTGTTTCACTCTCTGAAAGTTCTTTTGAGGTTTGTTTAAGCTTGTTAATAGGCCCTTGTTTTTGTAGTGTCTCCCAAACACTCAGGCATTGCACTCTTCCCACTAACATGTCCAAAGAATTCCCTTAGCACCAAGGGGAGGAATTTGACTGAGACATCCCACTTACTTTTCAGGTTCCTTCATTAACTATGTAATGTTTGTTTATGTGCCACATTATATTAGTTCTTACCTGCTGTTGGAAGAATCATTTCTGATCATTGTTATATAAGAAATTTATCTATGAGTATATAAATAATTTTAATAATACATTTTCTCTATTATTAGACCAGCATTATTTGGTTTGGTACAGGTTCTTGGGTTAATGTAGTCTCTTCTTCTTGGTTGCTCAAGTAGTGAAGGGTAGATATTTCATCACATGAATGGGTCCAATGGTATTAGTTGTTGGTTATTTCCACATACATTGTGCCACAGTTTTCTTAGTACATGTTGCAGGGAGTAAATCATTGTAGATGGTCTTGTGGCAGGCTTTCTGGTTATGTTTCTACTTTGATATAGTGTATAATTCCTTACTGTACCAAAGACATTGGAATTTAGTAGTGAGGGCTTTATATAGTTACCACCTCAATATATTCATGTTCAATATCAGTGTTGTGATCAGCAGTAGGGACTTGCTATCAGTTTGTGGAGAGCAATTTATAGTCTTGATAGCTTGGGTAGTTTTGAAGTCTCATGGGGCACTTTGGAGATAAATATACCAAAGTGAAAAACACAGAATCTACAGAACAAAAGAACAACAACTAGATAAACTAGATGTAACACAACCTGAGTACTGAAAACTTACTTTGCTAGCAAGAAATGACAAGGCAGGTCTCACCCTATATTTGTTGATTTCAGCTAGCTGCTTTCATCTATGTGTATGTTTTAGGAAGTATAAATGTAGGCTTTTCCTTTGGTGTACCAGTTCCAGAAAAATGACTTATTATTTATTAAAAGCTCCCTAGGACATGAACTAGGTGTGTTTCCTGATTAGCTCATAGATTATATTAACCTGTTTATTTTAGTCTGTGTTTGCTATGTGACTAGTTACCTCTACTCAGTTTTATATGTTCAGTTTCCTTTGCTTCCTGATGAGGAATCTTCCCACCTGACTATTTCTAAGAGTTCATCTTTCTCTGCCAGAAGCCACATCTTCTTATTTTGCATTAGTTTATAGGTCATCAGATTTTTATTAATAGAAAATGCTTTGACACTGTAAACAAGAGATTATCCTTACATCTCTGCCTTTTAGACCAATAAATTACTTTATTTCTAATGTCAATAAACTATATATAATAAGAACAAATGCATGATGACAAATATTTTGACCCACTAAATGACCAAAAGCCATAAACTGGACTTTTTGGAATGGGGCAACATCCTCTTGAAATTGTTTCACTCTGTCAGGGGGTGGCAACCTCCTTTGTGGTGGAGTGTTAAGAATGTTCGGATAGTAGCCAAGGCCTAAGAACTCTAGTATCATTTGTAATCTTGTGTCTGTGTGAAGTGAAAATAAAGGGCTTAACAGAAATACAGACTGTTACAGTTTGTAAGGCTGCAAGATCTTGGCTACATGTTCATGATTTAGATTTTTATGAGAGAGCCTTTCAGGTAGCCTGTGAGATAGGATCACTTGATCTACTTGTCTTATCGGTTTGGTGTCTGGTCCTTTTGCTATGCAAACACATAAACTTTCAAAAATACTATATATTTCTGCATTAACATATGTATAAAATGTGTAGCATACAAAATTCAGCTAAAGATCATTCCTTGATCTATGATTAATTAGGAAATGACATTTATCAATTTATGAGTCAATTTGGACTATATAGTTGAACTTTAATATAAATTTTCTCCTATGCATATAAAAGGAAGGAACGCTAAGTCTTGAAGATTCTGTAGCCAACAAGGTTTATTAGTTATACTTAGCTGAAATTTTGGTTGGAGACATTTTCATGTTTCATCCAGTCTCAGAGCTGTTTCAATGTAGAGAGATCAGCATATACTTTACTTGGAATGTTCTTGTTTCTTCCTTTATGTCTGTAGCCTAAATTTTCATGAGGTCTCCCCAGTTCAGATTTAATCTTTAATTTTGATTGAATCCATAGGTTTTCATCTCCTGTTGAAACAAAGACAAAATTGTTTCTATTTCACTAGGTTTAAATGTTTATTTAAATTGTTTACCTGATCTTAGTTTAAATTTGGAAAGTAGCATGTATGAAGAAAATCACCCATTTCTTTTATATTCTGCAAATTGGTGAAGTCAAGTTTTTAAAATATATTCTTATGATTCTCAGGATTTCCTTTGTGTATGTTATTATGTTCCAAATTTCATTCCTGATGTTGTTAACTTGAATATTCTCTACCTAATTTTTAGTTAATTCAATAAAAGTTTGCCTATACGATTGTTTTTTTTTTTTTGAAGAGCCACCTCTTGGTTTGAATGTTTTCTTGTATTATTCTCTTCATTTCTATCTTATTAATTTCATCTCTGAATTTATTTACTTCTTGTGGTATTCCTCTAGGGTGAAATTACTTCTTTTTGTTCTAGAAGTTTCAGTTGTACTGTTAAGTTGCTAACATGAGATATCTTTATTTTCTTAAATTATAGAATAGGCATTAAGTATAATGAACTTTCCACTTAAAAATAATTTCAATGTATCACATAAGTTTGGGTATGCCCTCTATTCATTTTTATTCATTTCTAGAATGCCATTAATTTTCTTATTTCTATATTGACTTATTTCTGATTCAGTATAGAGTTGTTCAGATTCTATGAGTTTGTAAGCGTTCTGTAGATTCTATTATTGATATCCAGTTTTAATCCATGGTGGTCTGATAAGGGGCAGGGAGTCATGTCAATTTTCTAATATCTGTTGAAATTTGGTTTCTATATGAGTAAATGTTCAATTCTAGCGAACATTTCATTCAGAACAGAGAAGAACATACATTCCATTGTATTTGGGTTAAATATTCTGTAGATATTTATGGGTTTATTCAGTTCATAATTTCTATGTTTAGATTTTGTACAGATGGCCTGTCTATTGGTGAGAGTTGTCAACTGAATAGTCCCACTATTCATGTATAAGCGTCAAATTGTGACTTAGTGTTTCCTTTCCAAACTTGAATGCCCTTGTATTTAGAGTATACACATTAAAAATTGAATTATCATTTCATAGATTTTATGTTTGATGAACGTATATCTTTCTCTTTCTCCTTTGATTAGTTTTGGTTTGAAGCATGTTTTGTTGGTTGTTAGAATGGCTACACCAAGGTTCTTAGGTTCATTTGCTACAAATATTTTTTCAAACCCTTTACCTTGAGGTAATATCTGTAGTTGATGTTGAAGTATTTTTCTAAGATGCCTAGAAGGGTTAGTCTGTTCCTTTTTTATTGGGGGCTTCAATCCATTGATATTGAGAGATATCAATAGCCAATGCCTGGTGATTACTGTTATTTTGGTGGTGGTCGTGGTAATGACTCCTCTCTCTCTCTCTCTCTCTCTCTCTCTCTCTCTCTCTCTGTGTGTATGTGTGTTTGTGTGTGTGTGTGTGTGTGTGTGTGTGTGTGTCTGTCTGTCTGTCTGTCTGTCTATGTTTGCTTTCATTCTTTTGAACTGACTGTTCTGGAATTATTTATGTCCTGGGTTTTCAGGAACCTCCTTAATGTGTATTTTTTGTTCCAGTAACATTTGTAGTGTTAGTTTTTCAGGGGGTATACTGAACTTCCTTAATTTGATTTTTTTTGTGCCAATACTATCTGGTTTCCTTGATAAATATCATTTACATTTGACTTTATCCTGGACAATTAAAAATACAGATACTTTATGAATTGGTAGATCATTCAGTACAGGGATCATGCTAACCTTCTTTATATCATTCCAATTTTAGTAATGTGCTGCTGAAGTAAAGTGAGTACTATTCCTTTATATTAACACTGTGCACAAAATACTCCACAGTCAGATAGTGTTACCTATTCTAGCACGCAAGCCAGAAAATTCATACCTCATTGTACCTTTGTCCTATCAGTAAGGCAAAGTTTATTATGATACTATATCAATAATGGAAGTTTGGATAGAGGGAAGATGATGCAATTATAATCTCAAAATGGAGAGTCAAAAAGATAGAAATTCTTGGATAAATATGTTGTAGACTCTAGGAGACTAGAAATGCTAACCTAGACTACTTTACCAAGCAAAATTTCAGTTACCACACATGGATAAACAGATGATAAAACCAAATTGCTGCAATACTTATCTACAAATCCAGCCTTAAAGTGATGCTAGGAAAAAACCCTCCAAACTAATGAAGTCAACTACACTGAAGAAACCAGAAAATCAATAATCTCTGACAAACAAAAGAAGAAAAGCAAACATTCCCACTATACATACAAACAGATAGACAATCAACAAGAAAGTACACAGTACATACAAGTAGACAAACAAACAACAACAAAGTTATAAGTATACATAATCATTGGGCATTGGTATCTTGCAATATCAGTGACCTCAATTTCCTAACAACAAGATACAGACTAACAGAATGTTGAAAAACAGGATGTTCCCTTCTGCTACATATAAGAAACACAATTTAATACCAAGAATTTATATTACCTAAGAATAAAGAGAAGTAAAAATATGTTTTGAGAAAATGGATACAAGAAACAAGCTGGTGTTGCAGTTTTAATATATAACAAAATAGACATCAAGCAAAAAATAACCAGAAGAAATAAGGGAAGGCACCACATGATTATCAAAAGAAAAGCTGTTCTCATCATTAACATCTATGTCAAAGCAGAAAGATGCCCAAGTTTATAAAAGCAAAATTTCTAAAGGTTAAATCACAAACTGACTCTCACATAGTGAGAGTGGACTTAGGACTATGAAAGGCAGCCTGGTCCCTGGTTAAGTTTAGGCTAGAAATCTGAGTGACCCTGAGGGAACAGTGTCTGTTCCTAGGCACCAGGCTTCTGTTACTAGACACAGCCATCCATAGATTTGTGGCCATCAATCATGTAAGGGTAACGCCCCAAATCCCTCCACAGGTAGAGGTCTTGTAGCCTCAAGACAGATCTCCATTTTAATAAGGTAGTTAAAGGCTTGGAGGACTTATTGAATAAACTCTCCTTCCCAAACAATCCTCCTTGCAAATGTATTTAACCTTAGGCTCACCCTGAGAAGTGGGGTAGGGTTTTACTCATCCACTTTCTTTTCCTCCTTAACAACAAATGTCTTAAAACCATTGACTGCCTCTTTTCATCGAGGTCGGCCATGTGGAGCCATGGAGAAGGCCTTTGCCTACAGAGCCTCAGTCTAATCTCCTGAGAAAGGCTTCTGAGTGCTCCCTGCCACAGCTGCCACAAAACCCAAGGCTACAGCTCAAGCCTGCCACAGCCAACAAGGAAGACTCTTCCTGCAGGATCTAGCTGTAGCTCCCCCCTTTTATCCAGAGAGCTAGATCCAGCCCATAGGCCCTCACTCTGTTCTCAGCTCTTAGACGGCCCCACCCTCCTTGCAGGCCTGGAAAACCCCAGCCAGCTTCTGTCCTCAGACTGTTTCCCCACCCCTGGAGCTGTGTCCTTCTGCTTCCCCACCTGCCTGATGACAGTGTAGGGTAAGCACTTCCTGACACTACACCCCAGCAGCAGAGTCCTGTTGCAGAACAGATGTGGGACCTCACAACCCTACAAGAAGAAGGGTCATTCAGATAAAATCTAAGCAGAAAGAGCCAAGTGAAGTTGTATGTCAAATGGATATAACATTTATTTATGAAACATTCTTACAAACACAGAAGAATAGCAGCAACTCATAAAATTTTCTCCCAAATACTCAAACACAAATTTCAACTGATGCAAGAAAAATCCCCTTTCTCCTATCTGACACCACAGATCAAAGCTGGATTTCAATGACAAAAGTCATACCAAAAAGCTTACAAACTCATGAAAAGAAAGCAATTCTTACTGCCTAAAACATGGCTCAAAACAGACATTAAGAAAGAAAATAAGACTTTCTACAATTGAATGTAAAGTAATGCACATCATATCCAAACGTAGGGAACACCATAAAGACTATTTTAATAGGAAAGCTCAGAGTACTGAATGATTACTTTAAAAAACGTCAAAAATGTTTCATATAAGCAATTAAGTACCACAAATGAAACTTTTAGAAAGTGAAAGAAGAAATCACACCAAATGTTAAGAATCAATTAAACACTTAGCTGAAATCATTAAAATTGAGACAAGCAAACAGACAAAGCCATAGAATGAATCTATGAAGCAATATTTGATTCTGTAAGGAAATCAATAGGATAGACAAGCCCTTATCCAAAGTAACTAAAAATTGAATAAAGGATATCCAAACTAAAAATTTCAGAAACAAAAAGGGAGCAATGACAAAAGAAAACAAAGAAATCCAAAAAATTAGAAGGCACATACTGTAAAATTTTCAACAAAACAGAAAATATAAAAGAAATGGAATTTTTCTCAGTTAATTCCAATTATCTATGTTAGGTTAAGATCACACTAGCAATTTAAAGAGGCATATATCCTCTAACCACTATTGAAATAGAAGCAAACATTGTATAAGGTTCATAATCAGAACAAGCAAACAAACAAACAAGCAAACAACAAAAACAACAAAAGGTCAGGGGCAAATGACTTTAATGTAGGATTCTACAAGAATTGGATGGGTTATTCAAATTCCTCTACTCACATTCATGGATCAACAAGCATGAGGAGATGGAAAAACAAGTATCACAGTGGGTACAGAAGACTAATAAAATTAGGTCTTCTAAAATAGGATGAGCAGGCCTAATATGAACTCACAGAATTGACAGAGCATACACAGTGTTTGCACAGGACTCTACTATGTCCTCTGCATTATGGCTCCTAGTTTAATGTCTTTATGATATTATTGAGTGAGCAAATGAGCATGTCTCTGACTCTTATGCCTAATCTTGGGCTCCTTTCCTTTTGTTGGTTTTTCTTGTTAAACTTCAATGTAATAACTTTCTTCTTATATGATATCCATCCATCCATCCATCCATCCATCCATCCATCCATCCATCCATATATCATCTATCTATCTATCTATCTATCTATCATCTATCTATCTATCAATCATCATCTATCTATTTACATGAATGAGTGTGAATACCTAGCTACTAGGATAAACGATAGCTTAAGAACTGTCACATACACATGTTGGTAGAGGAAAAGTTGATATTCTCTAATAGAATAACAAATACCAGTGGATTCTCCAGCTTCTCTTCTAACATTCATTAGACATACATTCATGCAGTCAAAATTAAATAAATCTATTATATTAATATTTTAAGGCATCAGGGAGTTATCAGGAATGCTATAAGATGTATGGATTAAGTAATAGACTTTATAACAATTTTGAAAATATAATTCAAAGGTCATATCATTGTACTATAAAGAGATCTTCTGACAACTGGTACACTCATCAATCTCAGATGGTCTATGTTCTTTGCCTCATATTTATATCTGCTACTCCACTTAAAAGAATACTAAAACATATTTTCATATAAACCGATATACTAATAACATCACTTTCCTTTATCAATTTCAATTTTAAATTTTAAAGAACTTCATTCATGAGTACTATATTTATACATCTATCCCTAGAAATTTTTCCATGTTATCAAACTCTCAAATTCACAAATTTTTCATTTTTGTCACTTGCATACATTCTTTTATATATGCACATTTATACAAGTATGCACATATATAACTATAAATTGTGTGTGTGTGTGTGTGTGTGTGTGTTTCTGCAAGCATATGAACTTTTCTAAGCCTGACTCATTTCCCAAATAATGTAATAGAGGCTTACATTTACTAATTAATAACTAGGATTTAGGTTAGGCTTGTTCTCAACTATCTAGTAACTCAAATATCCTGTTTACATTAGTCTAAGTTCTATCACATGGCATGTTACCTCCCTTAGTTACAAGTCTGACTTTCTCTGCATCTCAGTCCATGGGTCTGATCCCAGAGATATCCTACCTCCACCATCTTTGAAATATAAATCTGATTTTCATGTTACTATATTATTGCTATAATTTCATTATCTTACAATTGAAGATACATTCATGTATGTGTTTTGAAAACAATACATCACATTAAATTTACTAATATCTAAATATAACAATTTCATAAGTTGTTACCTATCAATGATAATATTTATTAGCTATATTTCTCAGAATTTACAGTATCTGGCACTGTTTAGACTAACAGTAGCACTATTAATATAACATAATTCTATGGGGACTAATCATGTGTTAAGATTGAAGCTAGTTTTCAACAGCTTTGTTTAACTATAGTGTTACAGAATCCCACCACATAATTTCCTCAAGGCTTCTTTCATGTCTTTGTTCCTCAGACTATACACAAAGGGGTTCAGCATCTGTGGGACCACAGTATATAATACTGAAGCCACTGCAGTCTTTCTAGTAGAGTCAGTCACTGCAAAACTGATGTAGACCCCAATCACTGAGCCATAAAACAGTAAAACAACTGTCAAATGAGACCCACAGGTGGAAAGGACCTTGTAATTGCCTCTTACTGAGGGCTTTTTCAAAACTGAATAGACTATTTGAACATAAGACAAAATGATGCCCCAAAACGGAAGTCCACCAAAAATGAAAGTTGCCAGGTATATCACTATGTTATTGATGAGAGTGTCAGAACATGACAGCTTGATTATATGAGCAAGTTCACAGAAGAAATGGGGGATTTCCAAATATGTGCAGAAGGATAGTCGCAACACCAACAGACTGTGTAGCATGGCATCCACCATGCTACTGAACACGGAGAACAAAATTAACAGACTACAGATGTTTGGATTCATCATGATCATGTATCTTAGTGGATGGCAGATTGCCACATAGCG